AAAAAAAAAAAAAAAAAAAAAAAAAAAAAAAACAGACAGCAAAACAAAACAAAATGGCCAGGGGAGCCGCTACAGCTTAGCCAATGTTGATCGGTGTGAAAATGAGACTGATTGACATTGTCTGGCAAGTGACTGCGGAGCGACAAGTCCCATGCTAAGTTTTCTACTCATTTGAACCACTCAGCTTTCAACGAGATTTTTGACTACTGACTAACTACTATTGTAAAGTAGCCTTCAGTTTGTAGGAAACATATCAGGCGTTTTCAGCAGAAAGGTGGATCGATTGAACCTCGTACACACTATGCATTTGGGATTTGAGTATTACTTATTGGGGGAAGGGGTTGACATTCCTATGCACCAGTAGCTATTAGTTCACTTTTTAGAGGGATAATGACGTGCTCGAAATGTTCAAAATTAAGCAAACTTAATATTTCCGAGACTCCAACAAACATAGAATAAATTAAATTATAAAGAATAAATTAAATTAAACTTCACGACCGGAAAACGGAACATTTCAAGGCCCTTGAGAAACATGATCACTCTTCTGCTATTGCTGATCACGTTAAAACAACTGGTCACAACATCAATTTTGATGATGCCATTTTGACATTTTGGCGTCCGGCAAGACTGATTACCATCGCAAGGTTAAGGAGACCTTATTTATTCAGGAGCTACAGCCAGCGTTGAATGCCAATGTCAGCAGCGAAAAGCTTTTACTTCAGGAAAGCTTTTCCATTGCAACCTCGTTCCCAGGGTCTCTCATCTTATTGCCTCCTGGAGCGAGCGAGATGAGAGAGCCTGGGAACGAGGTTGTTTCCATTGTTCACTTTACAGACAGTTTCCGTTTGAAACGTCTTAAATTTCTACTGCAGATGTTTTTCTGTTTAGGGTCCAGCCCCTCATTGATAGAGTATAAATAGCTTTCCATTAACGGTTATACTTTTGAAAATGTATGTCGACTAGCATACGAAACGTCAAGTTCATAAAATGCATGTTTTTAAAATGTTTATCACCGCTGTTTGTTTTATATTTTTAATGAAGGTACGATGGCCGAAGACCAAGAGTTTATATAAATTAAACTGTATTTTCCGCTATAATCCCAGCTTAAAAACTTCTTTTTCTTCGCCGGGAATTAAGGTCCTGTTGGTGACCCTTAGTGCTAGGGTTACCCTAGCAAGGGGGTTACCCTAGCACTTCCACATTTCAAGGCAGGTGTAAGGTAATCTGTGGAGGTAGGGTAACCCTAGCTGTCCACAGGATTGAGGCCTGTTCACAAGCAGGTAGGGTAACCCTAGAAAGAGAGTCAAAGATAGCCTGCCTTTACAAGCAAAATTTTTCAGGTACTTACCTTACTACTTAGGGCAAATCTATGGTTAATTTGGTAAATAAAACAGGCAATCATTATAATTTTATTGCCAAAACCTATTTTCACTTGAATTACATGGTTTATCAGTTCCCAGACAGTTATTTTTCTCTGGTTTGGGATAAATTTGACGGTAAAACTATTAAAAAAATCTGCAATCGAATAATTCATTTTTGTTTTGTTTATTGTACGGCGTTCAGTCTGTAAATTACGATGTCAACTGTGCTTTTTTTGAAGAAGTACAAAGTTTTATAACTAATACTAATCGCTTTTCGGTGGCCAGCGTTTGATTGTTAAAATAATATATCTCTAGATATGTAAGCTTAACTCGTTTTCAGTGCAATTTGTGTGTGCTGTGTGTGTGAGCCTGAATAAATGGACTAAAAATTGTAATATTGTAATCCTATAATTTAGCCACAGTAGCGACAAACATTATTGAAAAAATTTCGTCGCAAAAAGCCGTTATTCGACATTTTCTTCTATCTAAAGCAAGACTAAAACAATCGTTAATTGATACGATGTTTCTTAAGTGAAAATTCGTTTGTTTTGACAGTATTTTTATCATATTTTGTTTCTTCAGTAGAGCCCAAAACAGTCGTCCTGGGTAGGCGAGATGTCCCTAGCAGTCTGTGGCAGAACGTTTACAAGGTAGTTAAGGGACCCTAGCGCTCAGCTACATTTTCCCTAACTGTAACCCCCAACGGCTAGCGTTACCCTACCCTACCTGCCTTGTAAACATGTCCATGAATATAAGAAGAATTGTAGAATTGCTAGAGTAACCGTCTTACTAAGGTAACCCTAGCAAGAGGGTACTTACTCTTGTACTGGGGTTATCCTACCTCCTAGTAAACAGGACCTAAGGATACGCAGGATAATAGATCGAATATTACCTCTCTCGATGTTAATTCATTTCAACATTTTCCATTTTTTTGGTCTCATCTTGTCTAGATACTGTAACATTATCTATAAACAAACCTAGTTAACATTTGTGTTAACGCTACCCCCGCCCCTCGAAAATAGTGATAAATAACGCGAACAATTGCGGTTTATCAAGCGTTGTCTTTACTGAAGTGTTATCGATATTCAAGGCGACTAAATTCGATTTGCATTTTAAAGGAAAGATCCTTCCCGGCAGTCTGGTGGGGTAGAACATCAGTTGACATTGGCAGTTCGATCAGTTTTTACGCCTTTTCTTCCTCTCGATAGCCATAAACGTATGTAACTTTTTGGGAAGTGGAAACCAGCGAGAATTAGTAAAACCAGTCACTGCTGGTAATTTTATTTCCATTTAACCATCATACAGTTAGATTAAACACGTTTGCAAGCCAGTAATATTAGAGTGTTCTTAAACTCGTGTACAGAGGGTATTAAAGTTTGTTCTATGGAGGAAGCAGGAAGCCGCAAAACTTGGCCAATTATAAATGAACAATAAACAAACCTTATACGTCAAGAAAGAGTCAAATATTTTCTGAAAACTTTTTTGGCCCAAATGTCTGTCAATTTGCTCTTCATAGCTAAAACTTCTCTCCCGGCATCATTTCTTTTAGATGTGAGGAATTGAATTTTCCTTTGCGTAAATTAGGGATCCAAATCTTCCGTTCCGAAACACAAAATCCTCTTGATCTTATCAACTCCGTTTAATTCTTTTCGTATATGTGACCACCATACGGTTGAATTCTTTTAAGTAATACTCCGGCTTTCCACGAATTTTTGCGCAAATATAAACACAAACTTTTTCACTAGAGCACCTGGCGTTTTAAAAGATCTCGTGAATATTACAACCTGATAAATTGAAAATCATTCAACTAGTCTTACAGGCAGGAAAATATCACAAACTACTTACAGTTGACGCTGTTATCTTGGTTGGATATAGACTTAGGAGGAGACTAACCGCAAAATCTCTTATCCAGATAATAACAGAATACACTCCACTGTAAACGAAAACAACACAAAGCGAATCTCTATAATAAGAAGTAAGACGCTTACGACCAAAGGAAAAGTTAAACCAAGCTTTGTAAAGCGCCTACCGCTTCCAACAGCCTTCTTTGTCCTCCTTAAAAAAAAGAACTTCACATGTTAATGATCGCTTTCACCTCACAAACAAACGCCGCCGTTTCTGTGCGAGAGTCTCTTAGCTCACAGTGCTGTCAAACTTGAGCGAGTTTCAGTTTGTTTACAACCTGTCGCATAATTATTGGTCGAGCACCGCAGCGCGCATTGAGTGTCGCTGGTGTAACTTGAAAACACCTGCTAAATCATATCAGCCAAACGTTCGCCGTATGAATATGACAGATGCAAATAATATGAGAAGCTGTTGTTACGTACAATCTTGCCTTGATTAAGGCTCAGTTCGGCAATGAATAATTGAGAGAATTATAGATATACTGTTAGTACGATTTATCTCATTGAACTTTTACAGTCTAACGCAGCGCGAAAGTTGATATCATTATTTTTGCAAACGCTCTTTTCTGAAAATTAAGTTCCAAAGCCAACTAAAAACAAAGCAAATAGTAACATTTTTTTAAAATTTATCTTCAAGTAGCTAGAAACAAGAGAAGATGAAGAGTAAGACAGTGGCCCTATTCTCAAGGTATATAGTAATCCATCTTAAGTAGTTTTCAGATATGTTATCCAGTCCTCCCGCGGATACTAGAGGTTTTCATGGATGAAGCGCTGTTGACGTGAGTAAAAATTCGCGTCTCAGGGTCAGCTGTTTCTAGACCTTTCTGGAATTTGTGACTCCGGAAGTGATCTAAAAATAACGTGAGAGTGTTACTAGTAGCAAGGCAGGCGAACACAAACCGTTTTTGGCCAATTTTTGTAGAAGTTTCGGTATAAAAGAACCTGGCAAAACCATTCCCACGCCCAGTTAAGGGGGTCTTATACTGTCAGATATAAATTTTTCTCCAAAAAACCATTTTTTTGGAACATGAAGATTCAACATCCCTGTCCATTTGTAAATCGTATTTTGAAATGATTTTCCTCTAATTACTCCTGAATTTACGTTTAAATTAAGAAATCTGAACACTT